AAATAAATAAATAAATAAATAAATATAATTACTCACCTAAGTACCGCTATTAAAGGTGCGTATATTGAGTCTCCATCGTAAACATACATATGATCCCAACTACATTCTGTAGCAAAATGATTGAATCTTAATCTTAACACTGCATTTGGACTGAAAAAGATTAAAATATTTTTAAATTAATGTGTAATATGCAAAGCACAGTCTGAATAAATTGCAGACCGAGTATTTTATTAAAAACCTATTTACAGACAATTTTGCTATAAATCCTAAGTCACCAGTGTAAAAGATTTAGAAGCAGTCATATCTAATTTGTAAAAATGACACATAGCTTCAAAATCTATTAACAGGCCATATGTATATATCATCATTTTCTAAAAACTTAGTCAACAGGAAATGTTCTATGTCTTGATTAAGGTACAGGTTAGAGAGACTGTATGCACTGTTGAAACTTAACTGTATACTTAATAGGGTTGGATTTTTATTGCACATTGTATTTAAAGTTAATTTTTAAAATCAACACTCAAGAAGCAAGCATTCTTATTTCTACACAACCCTTAACTGGAGGCTCTAATAAGGTCTTCAAATTTTAATTGAAGGGTCTCAATATGTTATACTATTAACAAATAAAGAAAATGAGACCAAAGGTATACAGGGAATTTATAACTTTTAAGTTCTAAAAAACTTTTAAAATACACCCCCCCCCAAAAAAAAAAAAAAAAACTAGTCTTCCAAATACACTAGAAATCATAAAATGGGTAAAAAATAATTCATATCAATTCATTTATGATCCATTCACAATATGTTTAAATAGATAAATTCAGTCTCAAGCCCTCATTACTGAAAAAATACCTCTAAAAGGATAATTAACTCTCTCTTCTACAAAATGTTCTTTTTTAAACACATTTAAAATTAAAATGCTGAGTAGTATGAACCAATGGCATAATTCAATAGGGAATATTTTTATACTTGACGGAGTCTTCAAATTCCATAACAAGATGTTTAAAACAAGCCAAAAATGCCTACTTGATTTAAAGGCACACTAATATAACTCAAAAATAAAATATATGTAAAAATTAAACTGTTATCACAAGTGAAGGGTTAGTGTAATTTACATTAAATGTGATATTTAAAAGTTGTAATCCTATAAAAAATATTGTGAATAAAACATTAACTACATAACTATATAACTATATAACTACATAAACTATATTATATAAAGATGTTATATTTTAATGCTTTAATATTGATATGATGACCTTCTTTATCATTTCAGAATAAAATGAATTAATTTAACCAAAATTGCATACTTACTAGCCTTCGATTAGCCATGTACATTTAGTTTTATACTTATAGTTAATTGGACCATCTGTTAAATATCCAGAAGGTTCTGTTAACCTAGAAAACAAAATCATGAAAATAATTACCTTAAAGTAACTTTAAGACATATAGTAACATAAGAAAATTAAAAAGACATCAAAAGTCCTAAAGGAATGGGACATAGCAATTTCCAAAAAGGAGAATTTATTTAAAACTTAAGAAAACTTTCAAATTGCCATATATGTCTCATAGCAAAAGAAATCTATTTTGTATTTCTGTAAACCTTGATGTTTCATGACTGTTTTATTTTACATAGTGGAAAAATGCACTGAAAGGTTGAATATTATATTGATGGGTTGAATGTGCATGCAAAATAGATTAAGTTAAAATTCCTCTGCACAAAAATTAGGTGGAGGAAAAAGGAGGAAAATCAAACACACTTTAAAAGGTGCCGATTGTGGACTACAGCAATAGTATGTGTGCTTACCACTTTCAGAGTTACACGGCTAGCTATAGTTAGCTGTTTTTCATGCACTGGGACTGCGAAAGTCGCCATCAGCTGACTTACTGAGTTTGGCTACCTGCTTTTATTATCATTTTCTCTTGTCTACGTTATACCTAGTCCAAGAACTCAATCAATTTTTAAAATAGGGTAAATCAAAGGTTTTATAATTATCTTCTATTTTAAACATGAAAAAAAGATAATTAGAAAAACTTCAGATTTTCAGAATTTAAAAATATTTGAAACAGGATCCCAATTCTACTTCATTTTGTTCTACTTAGCTCCAGCCCAATTATTTTGTCAACAAAAGACGATATTTTAAACAATTACAATAGCTTCCCATTTAGTCTTCATGTATTTATACATACATACACACATGTATACACACACACGCACACATCAGGGCTTATCTATCTTTATATAATCACATATACATACACATGCATACATACATACATACATATGTGTATACAGAAACATACAGATATCAGGGTCACTATCTGGTTTTAGATAAAATTAAATTCTCTTAATATTATAGAGTCTTAAATATATTAGGAAAAAAAGTTATCATCTACCTAAATCAGGGTTGACAGAAAGGTCAGACAATATGAATGTTATTTATAAATATTTCACAATCCCTGACAATTACTTTGGGCAATAAAGGGGTTAATTCATGCTTGGAAAAGTTTTTGAAGAACAGACAAATTCCAATGTTCTCAAATTAATGAGATAACAAATTGAGCATTTTCTACGTATCAGGTACTTTTATAAGCACGTAATGTGTTACCTCATTTAAAAATCTCAGAAACCCTATGAGATAGTAAATAGTTATTAATATATTATTACAGATGCGGAAACAGAAGCACAGTTTAAATAGCAGGTTAAACGACTTGCCCTGATTTTTCACTTCCAGTAACACCAGATGAAGCAATGCAGACAAACCCCACACTGAAGACAGCTTAAAAAGCTAAGGAACAATTTTCAAATCTTAAAAGCAGCTTATAAGAAACAAAATGGTAAGATGCACCAAGCCAAGAGCCAAGCTCTAAGCTCCCTTAAGAGGAGCCAGACACTCAGAGCTGCTTTGGCTCTGGCGAGATCTGTCTTTAGGAGACACTCCAAAAGGCTGAGAGCTTTTGGCAGCCTGCGGAGGGAGGGGGACAAAGGTTGGAGGCAATGGCCCACAAAAGGTAGGCGTTCAAATAAACAGCCTGGCATTTGAATTGGGACGTGATGACTTGCAATTAGGTTAAGGCTACACCAGAAGTAACCGAGCCCTGACCTGGGCTGCGGCCTAACTGTGAGTCATCCAGGTGGCAGAAAAACCATGCTTTCCAACTGGCTTAAGGTGATACCAGGACTGCCAGTATGTCAAGGCTCCTAACAGGAGATACAAAAATACTCTCTAAATAGCGGTTCTCAACCTGTGGGTCGCGACCCCTTTGGGGGTCGAACGACCCTTTCACAGGGGTCGCCTAAGACCATCGGAAAACAAAAAGATATTTACATTATGATTCGTAACAGTAGCAAAATTACAGTTATAGAGTAGAGTAGCAACGAAAATAATTTTTGGTTGGGGGTCACCACAACGTGAGGAACTGTATTAAGGGGTTGCGGCATTAGGAAGGTTGAGAACCGCTGCAAAGGAAGATAACATTATCGTAGGTCTCAAGTCATTTCTACCAATTTTTCAAATAAAATGTCTAGCACGATCAAAAATAATTAGGCATATGAAGACACCAGACAACAAAATAAGAACCAACAGACAACAGAAAGAGACCTGAAGATATTCCAATTATGGGGTTTATCAGATGTGTCCTATACTTCACTAAGCGCAAAACGACAAAAAACAAGACTTTAAACTTTGGTGGTTAATTGAAAATTTTAAAAAGTAACAGAGCATTTTGAAAAAGACAATGAAAATTCTAATACTGAAAACTACAATAATCAAAATCAAGAACTGAATGGATCCAACAGGATGAGCGATCCAGAAGCTAAGTCCATCAAAATATCCAAACCACAGCAGGATGAGTGAGGGTTTAGCCCACTGGGTTTGGGTCTCTCTACCAGGTAAAACTCCAAGGAGCTGAGATTCTAGTTGAAAGCATGGAACTACAGAATAGGGGTGGAAGGATCAAACCAAAGCTATCAATTACGGTCTTGTAACAAATTATAGAAACCAGGCACATAACAGCTTTGCATAGTTTCTATTGCTTGTTACAGGTATATCTTTTCCTCCTTCACATTTTTATTTTCTATGCAAGTTGTTGCAAGCTAACCTTACAATTTAGGCTTCAGATAATGGAATATTCAGTGTGACTATGACTGAATATGAAGATGAATTAATAGAACCAATGACAGGTACAATGATTCTTGGAACTGTGTGTTTCCTCATTTTGGACAAAGGGTGAGAATTTCTTCACTTGGAATAAGTGTATCTTCCGAGGTAAAAATACAGCGTGGTTTGGTTGTTGGAGTGTTCATATATTTTTAGAAGGAAGCATAGAGAAGCTAAGTAACGAAAGGGCAGACCCGTGCCAGTGATCCACTGCCTCTGGCCTCAGAATTCACACTATTGGTCTCCTCTGTGGATGTGGGCCCTTTAAATACTCTGTCTTTGCCAGATGCATGATGGTAAGCCAGCACGCCTTGTCAGCAGAGTGCACTGGAGAGACTGCAGGAGAAGGGCTTTGCTTCCTGGTTCCAATGCACTTACTCAACCAGCTCCTGCAGCTTGTTGGCTTCTCCAGCACTGGGCTCCCACGGTACAGAAGGCCGGCAGCACCCAGCCACGAACAGCTTCCCCCAACACTTCCCCTCAGGCAATTTCACATGGAGTGCCTCCAGTGAAACACTGCCACAAGAATAGCTTTCCCTAACATCCTATATGGTAACCATGGCAACTTCCAAAGGGCAGATGTCAAGCAAGTCCCATCAGGGCAGCATTACAGCAACTTTTCTGCCACAGCCCAGCCCTCCCAACAAGGCCTGGATCTCTGGCCAGGAGGCCAGGGCTCTGACCTAAGTGCTGCGTCTCAGCCAGAAGGGGGTTAGTGCTTGCTCCTTATATGACTATTGCTGTGTTTCAGAGTCCTCTGTACTTCAGAGCCAATTTCCCGTTACTCCAATCGTTGTTACAGTCAATAATTCTTTATATTAAACTCTTCCCATTAAAATTATTGTGATTCTCTTTCCTGATTGGACCCAAACCAATCAATTTTAATAATCAAGGATATGCAAAATAAAATCAGAACAACATACCACTATGCACCCACCAATTGGCCAAAATTTTAAAGATTGATTGATAAAGGATGTGGAGAAAAAGAATTCTCATAGGAATAAATCATTATGACAACTTAAGAAAGTAATTTGGTATTATCTTGCATAGTTGAAAATAGACATAGAAACGTGGTGGCCAGCAGTGTCAGAATTACACCCATATCTCCCCAGACTTCCTTACCTATTTCCACCCATTCCAGCCTGACTTCCTCAGGCCAGCACCTACATCTTTGTGAAAGGTTCCCCTCTGGCTGTTGAACCCCCTCTTCCTGTATATGTATGTGGTGGGTATAAGTGCCTGTGACTCCACACCCCCCTAGGGCAGCCCTTAGCCAATGAGTGATTTGGGTTAAAGAGTGACTATCCCAAGCTTCCTTAGCTCTTTAGTACATTCCCCCCAGCATCTCCCTGTGGAATTCAACTCCAGTTACCCACTGTGGTAGCTGACTTGACAACACACTTCATACTGGCTCCCTCTCTTCTCTATATCACTTCTGCCAGTGCCCCCGCATCGCCCAAGTAAGGGAGACGATCCCTCATGTCCACATGTTCAGTTCTTGTCTCAGGGTCTGCTTCAGGGTGGTGGAGGGGAGGGTGATCAAACTAAGAATTAGTACCTGGGCAGAGGTCTTCAGATGGGACTCTGGGGTTGGACCAGATGGCAAAGGGAACCACACTGAGGGTGGCAGAAACTAGCCCACGGCGTGCCACGGCATCACAGTGACGAAGGCTTCCACTTAGCGGAACTGAGATGGGACACGAGTGGGAGATGATGCGCTGACTAATGCACAGGCTTATGTGGTATCTCTAATACTTGAGAATGGAGTGGCAAGGGCAGTTATAAGGAGCGTGGAATGAGCTAACTGCTGTTAAAAGCCATTGATACGCTAAAGGAAGAAAACCGCAGCAGAACGCCTATAGCGAGGCACTTCCCCATGAACGGCTTTCATCAACATCCTACAAGACTCAATTGGCCAACCACTGAATTTAGATATGGTGTAAAAGCCACCGGACTCTGTAACATTTAAAGAGACTCTACCCCTGAAGCCAGAGGGCAGATCATGCTGAAAAACATGCCTAGGACCAGACTGAGAAGAGCAGAATCACATAAAAAGTTTAATTCACAGCCCTGCCAAGACTTCAGTGCTACAGATGGTGCCCCGAAAAGGAAATGAAACCCTGACACCTAGGAGGGTGTCATCTGGGTAGATGCCCTTAAGGACTCTGACCTCCCAGATTTTTTTTTTTAACACTATGGGTCTGCAAAAGTCTTTCAGAGGCCAGGGTTGACAGTGAG